CCTTTTGTTCATAGGGTTGCTATGACTCATGCTCGACTCAAAGGCAATCAACAACAACAACAACAACAACAACAACAATCACACGGGAGGAGATTGCCCATCCTTCTCACACAGAGGCGGAGAAGATAGTGGCCTTGAACCCCATGTCTTCAGGATTGCAACGCAGATTCTTGCCACTAGGCCACCAGAGCTTCCTGGTAAACTATTACTGCACTGATTTTCTAATATTGAGGGCCTACTTATCATCTTATTTTACAGTGAAGTTTTAATAACTCATGTATTTTTCTAAGGTGTAGACAGAATAACACAGAACAATCTATGAGCATGCTAGGAAGTAGAACAGAAAGGGTTTGGGGAATAAACTTTAGTTCTGGATCTGATGATACAGCCAGTCATAAGAGCATGGGCAAGTCCTTTTGATTTCTGGGGCTCATCTTCCCCACTTGGAAAGTGAAAGGAGTGATCTCCAGGCTATTTATTTTATTTATTGGTGAGCTTCAATCTATGATTTCACAATCACTCACATAAACAAATGAGAAAAGTTTGTCTATGAGAATGGTTGTTTGATACTAGCATTTTTACACCTTGATTTCAATTTCACAGCACCAGTTCACAACCTCTGCTGACTTCCCCCCCCCCCAAATTAAGTATTAGTTTCTCATTACTCATCATATTCCAAAAGGACCACAAGCCATGTGGTGTGCGGCTGGCTGGTGCTACTAACCCAAAGACCGCATTTCTCTGGTGATTCGACTCCACCAGCATCATTGGTCAATCTCCTCCTGTGATTTACAGCTTCGAAAACCCTCAGGTCAGCTAGGGGTCAGTTCTATCTTGATTGCAATGACTTTGACTTTGAATCACATTCCAAAGCACCCTGGTGGTTAGGTGCTTGATTATTCATTCAAACATTAGCAACTGGAACCCCCTACCAGTCACTCCTTGGGAGAAAGGGCCTGGAGAGCTGCTCTCTTAGTGATTATAATTCACCCCACCGCCTTCACATCAGGGAGGCATCACCAGGACTCAGGGCTATGACTCTTCAAAGGAGGACCTGTGACCTGTGAAGACCACCTGAGGACTGCACGACCACCAGAGGACACCCTAAGGAGACGAAGGAGTCAACTCAGTGTAATCCAACAACAACAACACAACTATGCTCTAATACAACACTGGCGAAAGATCTATTGAAGCCTTGTTCAAACCCAACTCCTGCTATGATGAGTAACAAAAGGTCTGTGGCCAGTGAGAATGCTTGTAACAGACAGAAAACATGCACAGCCTCTTGAGTCAGAGAAGAGTGAACGCTCTTTTCAGAATCACATTGAAACCTCCCGAGGACCGAGCTGGGGCAATCTACGACCCAGATTCCCTGCACCTCTGCGCTGCAGCGTTCCTGTGTAGTGAAAGGAGACTTAAGAAGTTCTGTGATTAAGCAAGGAGGTAGGCAGAGGTTAATATGGTTAATGAGGGGGAAACCCCTCACTTATCTCCAACTCATTCTTGAATCCCAAAGCCCTGAAGCGCTTGTCGAGAACTTGGTAGCCGAGAACCTTCTCAAAAATCAGAGTTTTGAGGAAACTCTACTGGTGCATCTTGAAGCGTAATCCATCATTGGGTGTCCTCGATTGTTTTAGGATGGAGAACTGTCCCTGGAGGGTTCCATTCCTCAATCTTCCTTAAAATACTGGATATGATGACCGGACATGATAACCCAGATCCAGCTACTCGAAGCGATGGGGGGGGGGACACCCCCCCAAAACAAAAAAAAAAACCAACCACCACTCTTTGGGTCTGAACTGGACACATACCACCTTATTCAGTCCCACCACCAAGGATCAAGCAGTTCTCATCTCCTCCCCTCCCTTTCCCCGGATCAAGTCTACACTTCCCGCGAATAAACAACCCTCGTAAAAACATCTCCACGAGCATCTGAATGCATACATGGAGCTTAACAAAAAAGAAAAAATAAATCCCTGAAAGTGAGATGTAATTACCAGGTTAAGGGGAGAAAAATGCACCCAGTTTCGCGAGCCTATCACATCTCTCGCCTCGGCGCAGCTCCCCCCGACACTGCTCCTGTTGTGTCGGATAGTGGCAGTGTTGAGCCCGGGAAGTGGCGCCGAGCCCGCGGCGGTCCCCGCGGCCGCCCAGTCTCCGCGGCGGACTCGGGCGCGCAGGAGCCACAGGGCCGCGCGGGCGCTGGGGCGCGGGAGGGGCGCGGCGACCGGCGAGCGGTTCCCGGGCGGCCTCCACCAAGTATTCGTCTGCGGCGCGGCCAGGGCCCCGCTCCCTGCGATCCACCCCCGCCTCCAGCGCGGGGGTGGCGGAGAGCTCGCCCGCTC